GATTAAATGGTCATAGGTATATTTTACCCTTTAAAGTATTATTTTATTGAATAAAAAATAGATTAATTAGTAATTATACAAAAACCCAATATAATTTTCTCCATTTATCTTATTATTTTTGTCCCATGTTGATCAAGTATATAGTTTTATGAGGTAAATTTGATTACATATCAAGGCATATAATATGAGAAAATGATAAATTTATTTTAAAATGTGATTGATAAATTTTACAAATTTATTATGATATATGTAAAATAATTGAACATATAAGGATAAAAAAATATATTATTTATTGATTTTTTTGATATTATATAAGTAAAATAAACTTAAAAATTAAAAGATATAAATTTTGTGTAACGGAGGGAATAATATTTTGACAAATAGATGGTTTTTGAACAAGGGACACATAGAGAATATTAATGGTATAAATACACGTGCTTGACATGACATAAGTAGTGAATGTTGAAATTAAGATGCAGATTAATCATGTTTCTTTTACCAAATAAGGACTTAATTTGAAAGTAATCAAGTTTAATTTATTTTTCAAATCAACCTAAATTTGACTGTCATTTCCATTTGCTCCTTTTTATGTCAATTGGGTCCCATTACACGTTTTGGTTCACCCACTCTTCCCCGTTGCTTTCACTCTCCTATGCGTCCTTTTCCCTCCCATTTTGATTTCTTATGTACTTTTTCTCCCATTCTTTTATATGTCTAAAAACAAATGTTTTTAAAATCGGATCGGACATTAAATCGGTGAAGGTATTAGTTCACTGATTTACTGGTTCAATCGAGTTCAATAGCGGTTGAATCGGATTTTATATAAAATAATATTTTTTTAAATTTTACATAATATTCAAAGCAATATTAATATATATGTAACACTTTTTTTAAGTTTACAATATTAAAAGGTATAAAAATATCACAAGTCATAATATATATAAATTAAAAACTATAAAATCAAGTGAAACAAAATGATTCAAATCAACTAAAACATAATATTTAAAGTAAAACATATTAAATAATAAATATAATTATATAACTAAATCAAAAAAATAAAATTGGGGCTTAAAAAATCATAACAAATGATGTCATTTGGTTTAATTTTTTTTAAATAATCCCACATGACTAAGAAACATAGAAGAGCATCCCAAAAGTTTAAAGAGAAAAAATATGATAACAAAACAATCCCACATGATTAAGAAACATAGAAGAACATCTCAACTTACTTCTATAAATAATAGAGGTAATTTGACATTCAAAATCATGGAGCCTTTTGGTGAGCACAGAGCGAACTATTCTTTCGCTTCAATTGAGCTCAAATTTTAGATTTCAATCGAACTTTTAAATTTTTTTTTAGTTCGAGCCTTTTCGAGTTCAAGTTTAATATTATATTTTGAGTTTGAGATGAACTTAATAATTTTTAGCTCGTGAATTTTTTAGTCGAGTTGAGCTTACTTTTAAAGTTTTCGAGTTCGAGTCGAGCTCAGCAATACTCAAATTTGACTTGGTTTAATTTTTTTAAAAAAGAAAAAAAAGTGAACCAGCGGTTCAAACCGGTTTTGCCGGTTTTCAGTCGGTTCACCCCGGTTTTCAACCGGTTCATTGTTATACCGGTTTTGTGAGGTAACCGGACCGGACAAGCCACCGATTCACGGTTCAACCGATTGAACCGGTCGGTCCGGTCCGGTTTTGATAACCATGCTAAAAACATTAATTAACATCATTTATTTTTTTTTACACAAAAATTTAGGTCAGGAGTAGTTCTCTAATATAAGATATCTAAGATATAACTGAGATTTACATAAGAATTTATAAATTATCCATTAAAAGTGACAATGGTTTGATTCGAATTTGACTTTATAAAATAAAATTCTTGAATCATAACCATTTGTACCAACACTCTTTGACATTAACTCATTTAAATCTGTTTTATGTTTAGCATTTAATTTACTCATTAAATTTTAAAGTAATATCAATATATATAACATTGGTGAAGAGCTACTTAAAAGGTCAACTTTTGTAGCGTTATATTTTTAGGGTAAATTATGTACTTAGTTATCCAACTATTCTTGCGGTTTCATTTTTATCACCTAATTTTTTTATAAAGTCATACATAATATTACGTCTTAGTTTTATTTTGGTCACTCGTTGTTAAAAAACTAACGGTGACGCTGATGTGTCACCATAAGATAATGTTACATCATCATTGAAAACAAAAATGTCATGTTGGCATTTATGTTAATTTTTTAATGATGGGTTACCAAAATAAAATCAAAATGTAATGTTATATGTGATTTTAAAACAAAAAATAATTGAGTGACTAAAACAAAACTAATCAAATAGTCGGATGAATGAATATGTAGTTTACCCTTTTTTACTTTCAATAAAATAATATTAAAATACATAAATGGTCCCTCGACTATAGGGAAATATTTTATTGAGTTTTTCGACTATTAAAAATTACAAAATTATCAATAAACTATTCATATATTCCAAACTCATAATTTTTTGTTAAAAAATTGACGGTCGTTTGGGCTAGACGTTAATCTGTTAACTGTGATAAGATAAAATATAATCCTAGAATCGCTTGAGTTGTATTTTGTGTATTGAGTATTTGTTCATCAAATCAATGTTTGAAATATTATGTCGTCGAGCCAATTCTTGAAAATGATGATGATACTTATAGATACCAAATAAAATATAATTTTATCTTATCTTAATCATTAAATTAACTACTAACTATCTTAATATACACATAAAACATAAGAAGAATAAGGAAATCAATACCTTTATCTCCGTACATATTGAGATGATTGTACCCTAAATTCAATTCTATTTTAACAATCTCAGTTATTTCTTTATAAATTTTATCTCGAATCTAAAATTTTAAAATAATTCTACAAAATCAAGTTAAAATCTATATCATCCCTATGTTATGCATAATCACATCATCTTTTTCATATTTGTTTTCAAAGTATGAAGAAACTTAGTATGAGACTATAGCAATATCAAACATAATTTTATTTAGCCAAATGAGTGTTGGTATAAGTGTTCCCCGCGATACGATATGGAAGACCTTGGAAACGAGACAGATCTAAACTGCTTATATCCGGGCGATTCGTGATATGTACTGTAGATCTACTACATACGTCAGGACTACAGTTGGCGACACCGAGACTTTTTCGGTGGAAATCGGACTCCACCAGGGGTCTGCTCTTAGCCCTTACATCTTCGCCTTGATTATGGACGACATCTTTTGTGCGACACCAGAAGGTGTTCCATGGCGTATGCTTTTCGCTGACGACATTGTCCTAGTTGCTGAAACAAAAACTGAACTGAATAGTAGACTGACTTCCTGGAAGATTGCTTTGGAAGAAAAAAGGTCTAAGGATCAATATTGAAAAGACAGAGTATTTATGTTCAAACTTCAGTGGGAACCAAAACGATGAAGATCTAGAAGTATGCATAGAAGGACACGTTCTCCCCACAAGGGATTGTTTCAAGTACCTGGGTCTATGATACATAAAGATGGGGGTATAGATGATGACGTTACACACCGTATAAAGGCGGGATGGCTAAAGTGGAGGGCTGCAACTGGAGTTTTGTGTGACAAGAAGGTGCCTCTAAAACTTAAGGGAAAATTTTATAGAATGACAATAAGACCAGCGCTGTGTATGGATCAGAATATTGGGCAATCAAGAAGGATCATGTAAGGAGGATGGAGGCCGCAGAAATGAGAATGCTTCGATGGACATGTGGTAAAACTCTGTGGGACATGACACCAAACTCTACAATTAGGATGTCCTTGGGGGTGGTTCCTGTATCCGAAAAATTGAGAGAGGGAAGACTACGGTGGTTTGGACATATCCTTAGGCGACAAACGTCGGATACGGTCAGGAGGGTAGAGTCGATTACACTCGACGGTGCCAGAAAGAGAGGACGACCAAGGAGGAAGTGGGTAGACTGCTTGAGATCTGATCTGAAGGAATTAGCCCTTACCGAGGACATGACCTCTGATAGAAAAGTATGGAGACTTAAGACCATGGTAGTCGAGTAGTGTGGGTCACAACCATAGGGTGTAGCATCTCTGTCTCCTTTTAATGCCTTCGTAGTAATCTCCATGACTTATACTTTTTATACGTTTTTGTTATTAGATTTTATGAAGGCTTAGAACTAGGATAACGGAGTAGTGTTGCCTTAGTTTAGGTTTTAAACCATTTGACTTTATTCCTTCTCGTAGCTTGCTATCGCTGACTCCTGTGTATCCTTATCTTCATTTTTTCTCTTTTTATATTTAACCGGGATTTACGTTTCTGTCTATAAGCAGAGTTTTTTACGCAGGGATTTATTTGCAGGGATTTACTAACCATTACAGACGCATATATGAAGACAGCATATGAAGACTATTCAACTATGTATTTATTGATTTATTTATGCAGACATTGTATCTTATCTTTATTTTTAATTTTCTTACTGCCGGAGGTCTTCCATGGAAGCTGCTCTCAATCTGGCGTTGGGGGCAGCCTACTACCCCACCTTCCCCTTATCTCATTGCATATGGGAATAGGGTTTTGTTGTTGTTGTTGTTGTTGTTGTGTTGGTATAAGCGATTGGGATTTAAGAATTTGAATTTATAAGGTCAAGCTCGAATCTTACCATTATTACTCTTGGTGAGTAATATGTAAATTTTTATGTAAATCATAATTGAGTCTTAAATATGTCATGACCCTGAAATAAGGGAGTCATCCTTAACTTAAATTTTCAAGTGAAAATAATACATAATTTTATTTTAATTTTGCTGAAACTGAATAAGGCCCATGGTTTCTGAAAACAAGAATCTCCTTCCCCATTAATTAATTGCTAATAATTGAATTGGCATATTTGTAAAGAGAGGGGGAGAGAGAGAGAGAAATTAGAACATTAAGAAATATACATTAGTCAATGTTTAAGTTGTCCCTAAGACAAGTCAGTACCTAACATTCTGCTTTATGTCCCTCTCAAAACATGACCCTATTCTCATTGGACGAGGCTGATGTTCTAGAACCAGGAACCTGTGTGGAAACACCCTCCCCAACTAACCCTTGCGACACTCCACCACCGCCTTCCACGGTTGCCCTTTGGTTGCCACCGCCACCGCCCAATCTTTGAAAGAAGACCTCCCTCGTCCCCGGATTATTATTATCGCTTCGGTTCAATGAAAAGATAAACGGCTGGTTTTGGGGGTGGTGGTGGAGTAATTGATTCTGTTGCTGCTGCTGTTGATATTGCAGCTGAAAACCAGTGGGAGGAAGCACGAGGGTGTTATTAGGGTTAACATGGGATTGGCGGGTTCCGAACCCGAACCCGAAATTCGCCCCACTGGGGTGAGAACCTCCTGCTGCGAAAGGAGCACTCGGACCACCGGTGAATTGTTGCACCATGGCTCGGAAATTCGTGGTATCCGTGTTGAGCAAGGTGGTAGGGGTTCGTCTCGAAGCTCTTGATCGTCTTCTAGCTGACTTCCCGACGCGGCCTTCGGGACTCAAATGACCACCACTCGATCCACCGCCTAGTCCCGAGCCTAACGAGTTCGCCGGAGCGGTGCTCGTGGTGATCGTAGGAGTTTTAACGAAGCCGGAAGGATCGGAACCCTGGTCGCCGAACACAGATTCTGATGTGATGACACTAACGCCATTCGATAAGTCCTGATTAGAAAGATTTTGATCGTAAAACTGTGGCCAAGAAGACATGGTTTCCCTCATGTCCAAAGCACAAAATAAGCTAAAACTATAGAAGAATAATTGGGTATATATATATTTGTAAGAAGGGAAGAAGAGATCTGCGTAAGTTTGGCTTTCAAGATGGTCAAAGAAGAATATCGGGAAAATCATGGTCGTTGAATTCAGTTAAAGATTTATTAACGGTTTAAGGTTAAAGTACACAAGAGATACCTACACTATGATCAAGATCGTTTTAGTCATTTAATTTCTAAAGTTATAAAATTATTATTAAATTTATTGAATTATTATAAAATAATTATTACAATATTATAAAATAATCATTGAATTTATCAATTATTATTATTGTTCTTGTTGTTGATATTGTTTTATCATTATATTTTGTAATAGTTTAACAAATTTAAATATCATTTTGTAATTTTCAAAAGTTTAATGATCGGTGTATTTTACTAAATGGTTAAATTATTCAAATGGTTACTTGACAATTAGTAAGTTTCTGGTATGGTCACTCAACTTTAAAAAGCTATTAAATGATCACTTAGATTATAAAAAATTATAAAATAATCCATTTTTGTTCATTAATTAATGAGAGATGAAATTATGGTTTATAATTTTGAAAAAAACAATTTAAGGATAAAATACATAAATGGTCCCTTGACTATAAGGTCCTCTTTGTTGAGTCCCCTAACTATTAAAAGTTAACAAATTGTCACCAAACTATTCATATGTTACAAAAATCATCATTTTTTCGTTAAATAAATTGAGGTCGTATAAGCTGAACGTTAACCTATTGACTGAGATATGATAAAATTTAATCTCATAACCATTTGAGCTTCATTTCATGGATCGACTCTCCATATACATTATATCGTTGAACTAGTTCTTGAAACATTATGACATCGAGTTAATGCTTGAAAGAAACAGAGATGCAAGTAGACATTAATAAAATATAATTTTATCATATCTTAGTCAGCATGTTGATATTCAACTCAAACGACCGTCTATTTTTTAAAGGAAAAATGACGAGTTTGAAACATATGAATAGTCATGTGATCATTTTATAATTTTTAATAGTCATGGGGCTTAAAAAAGTCTTATAATCATGAGACTATTTTATAAATTTTAAAATCGAAAGTTTTAACAAAGTAGCACCCTATAGTTGAGAGATCATGTTGAGTTAATCGATCGACGAAATAGCCAAGAGGGGCGTGAATTGACAATTAAAATTTTGGTGGAAGCTTTTGCAGAAAATATAAAATAATTACACAACGATTTAGAGTGGTTCGACTTTTTTAACCAAAGTCTATGTCCACTACCTTAGCTATCCATAATAAGGATTTTCCACAAATTCACTAATTTGTCTTTCTTTTGAGGACAAAGAGTAACCTTACAACTTCCCCAAGAATTATACTCCAAATTCTTGAGAACACTCTCTCCCAAAGAGAACAATACAAATTTCGCAAACTTATAGAAAAACCTCACAAGGCAAGATGTTTGCAAAATTCTAGAACAAAGAAAGAACACTAAAAAATGAATACAATTGAGCACAATAAGTTTTCTTGAAAGCAAAATGAATATTGAATGAAAATTTGGCTTGAAATGCTCAAACTTGAGGTCTGATGCTTTCTCTTTGATTCTCTAGCTTCTCTTCTTAATTGTTGTTGATCAATAGCTCCTAAGCTTGTTTAAATACACCTTGAATAACTTTTGAACGTTGGGAATCATTGGTGAAGTCAATAGAGTCGTTATTGTGCGAAAACAATTAAATAAAACAGTTGGGAGCGCGTGTACATCGGTAAAATTCAAATATTTCGACCGTTATAAGACTTAGTGCATTGGTACACTAGGGGTGCATCGGTACACTAATTATATTCGATGTTTCAAAAGAGCCAGGAGTGCATCGATGCATGGTCTGTGCATCGGTATATAAAATGTATTCGATGTATCAATAAATTCAAGAGTGCATTGATGCATGGTTGTGCATCCGTACACAAAATGCATTCGAAATAGGGTGTGCATCAATACATCATGAGTGAATCAGTACATCCCTTTGAAAAATTAATTTTTGGCTCGATTTTTTGTTCGAAATACTTTGTAAAATTTGTTTCAAAATATTTTAAGTTTAAAACACAATTTTACACTTTAGTAAGAATTGAAATTGATCTTTGAAAAACTTGGAGTAATATTTTGATATTCAAATAATTGAATCGAATATACTCTAAAAATGATTTATAAAATCTTAAAATTCAATAACACTTAATTTGTTATATCGAAACTTCAAAATGTTTTCAACAATCTCCCCCTTTTTGATATAACAAAACATTTGAGTAATTTTAAGATTTTCTTGGAAAATCATTTTTGAAATCAATTTTAAAATTACTCGAAATTACTCCCCCTTACTATATTCTCCCCCATTTGTCAAATCAAAAAGTCTCTAAAACGTTTTTAAACAAGGTTTTTGAAAACTTAATCAATTGATATTTAGAAATTTAAAGCTTAAGCTTATAAGATCACAAGTAAGAGAAAGTTTAGTCATTAGTTTCATAAATCAATATTCATAGATAATATGTAATGGTAAATTGGTCATATGTATAATGATGCAAAAATGAATAAACCAATATAAATTCAACCAAACCAAATATATAGATATAAGTATTTAAGTTCAAACATCCATAACAAATTTAAACATCCAAAATAAAACAATCCAAAAACATCCAAAATGTTTTAACAATGAGTCTTAAGTTCGATCCAAGAAAACTAAAGTAAGGCAAGGTCTAGTCATCCAAAGGAGGATCGGGAGGAGGAGGATAATGTGCTCGCATCTCGAGTGTGAGCGCATCTAAACGTTCGCGCATCACCCATTGAAATTCTAATTGTTGAGCCCCCATAGCGGTTAAGTGGGACTCTATGGATGCAAACCTTAGATCAAATGACTCCAAAAATGATCGAAAGTATGGAGGCGTTTGATCCTTTTGTTGTGCCGGCTTGTCCTCGGGTACTTCATCGTCAATATCTTGCATAAGTTGTTGAAGCTCAGGATCATCATCATCTGCCGGTGCCGGAGGAGCTCGTGAAGAGCTAGCTCCCGGTGTTTTCTTAGAGGTTCGAATCCATTGGTCACCTTCCTTTTTTCATCCCAATTTCTTTAAGTATGTGAGATTTATTTGATTCTGGAAAGGGATGGGAATATCAACCAAAACCTTAAGCCCGAGTTTGATAAACAGATTACAGAGGAGACAGACGTAAACTAAAGTTTCTACATTTTTGGATGAGACAACGTTTACGGTATCTACTAGCTCGCCAAAAATAATCTGTGGCAAATTTATTTTCTTGTTATGTTGGATACAATGTATCCACCATAAATCTATGACCCTAAGAGAGGAGTACCTACCTCCGGATGGTCTAAACCACCAAGAGATTATCAAGTGAAGGAATCGCTCGTGATGAGTTCTTAAGGTACTTACAATATCCTTAGCTTTATAGGGTGTAGCCACAATATCTCTTTCATTATCAAGACCCATGTTATCTAAACTAAAGGCATTATCCATTATGTCTGAGTCGATATAAATGAATTCACCTAAGAGATAGGATCGAATTCCTATAGTTTCATTTTGACGTTCATTTTGGACACAAACCGCATTGGAGTAGAAAATGTGGACTAATTGGTGATAAACAATGGGCTGAATTTGACATATTTTATCAAACTTCCAGGAACGGATGATAGAAAGATATTTGAAGTTTATATCGACCATTATTTGAATAGAGGGATTACATTCTTCTCGAATTTTATATGTTTGGAAAGAATTAACGAACCTATGATAGAGTTCTTCTCGACGACAACCAGGTTGGTTGAAGCAAGAATTAAGAATGGTTAATTCGGGTTCGTTTGGGTTTGGATTTTGAGGTGGAGGTGGAATAGGAGGTCGGTTTTGACTCGAACGACTCAATGACGACCTAGGGCGTTTAGGATTAGACATGGTTCAAGAAATCAGAATAGGATAGATAACCTGTAAATTTGAAACACATGTATGCAATATAATCAATCCCAAAACTCAATATGAGTCCGCAATAGTCAAGGTTCTCTAAACCAAATCCTAATGGGCAAAGTTTTGAAAACTATTTGGAAAACAATGTTTGAAAATCATAATATGTATAGTTTTCATGAAAACAACATAATTGAATCAAAAACATCAATTAAAACAATATTTTTTGAAAATATTTTTTTATTTCTAAATTTTTGATCATTTTTGAAAAATCTTGTGTTTTTTATGAAATTAGTTATAGAATCTAATTTATAAACATTATATAATCAATGCTCGATACTTAGTTCAACCTAGAATTAATCAAAACTAATCCTAAGTTAAAAAATCAATAAAACAAAGGTTTTTGAAATATTACCTTGAAAATTTAGATTTTGTGAGAATGTGATATTGTTTGAACTAATTTAATGAATGTAGCAGGTTTAAGAGTTGAAAATCGAGTGGATTCTGACTTGAAATCGTTGATTTGAAGAAATCGAGAGATTTGGAGAGGATAGGGACGTACGACGGCAAGAGGTGTTTTAGTTTGGATTTTGAGAAAATAAGAAATTTTAGGGATTTAAGCCTAAAATCCGATGGGTGTATCGATGCATAGCAGAGTGCATCAATGTACATTCAAGAAATACATCAGTGCACCTTCATGGTGTATCGATGCACATTCAAGGGATTCATCGATACACTATAGTGTATCGATGCATGTTGCACAAAAATGTTAAAAATCCGTTTTAAACACTTTAAATGCTAAATTAATTAGCTCTAGTGGTATTGGCAACTCAAAGATAAAAAATTAACAATGTTCAATCAAATAAAACTATCCTTAAATTTTATTTGATCATACAATTAATTTTCACTAAAGATCATAAACTCCCCATAACTAATAGCAAAGAATACAATTAAAAATATTATTTTTATAAGCATTTTTCAATTTTAATTAAAAGTGCTAAAATTATTTTAAACACTAAGTCAAGGTAGGTTGGTCAAACCTAATTCTCTCCTAAGTGTCCAAACTCTTTCTTTATCTAAATGTTTTGTAAAAAT